AGGTGACCTGGTCTTAAGGAAGATTCTCTGAATTCACTCTGATCCAAGAGGAAAGTGGACTCCCAACTATAAGGGAAGAAATATTTCTTAGGAGGTGCTCTAATCCTGACAGACATGGATGGGAAAGACATTCCACTTCCAGTCAATTCAGACTCAGTCAAAAAATACTATGCATAAAAAGACCCGTTATGTCGAAAACCCGAAAGGGAGGCTTAGGAAAAAGTTAGGGCTAAAAAAAAAGAAAGAAAAATTATAACCCACTAAGTCAAAAACCTGAGATGGAGGCTTAGGCAAAAATGTGTATCCTGGTGGATTGAAAACCCGGAAGAGCCATCCAGGCAAAAATTAGGGACTAAAAGCAAGAGACTGCAGTCTGAAAACTCTTCAGGAATAACAAGTATACCCTCCTAACATTGGATGGGTCAATTCAAATATTATCCTTCGGAATAAAAGCACTAGGACGATCAAGGAAATGGGAACCATAGCAATATCATTTTTAATGGAAGTTTGAGATTTTCTTATTGCCACTTTGCCAGTTGTATTTTGTCTTTTCTTTTCAACTTCCTCATTTAGGAGTTGTTTCCATGTACGAATTCCTATTCACAGGCCAATCTCATTAATAAAATTTTCTTTCCCACCAAAATATTTCTTGTTATGTCCTTTTTACTTAATTTTTTGTATGCGAATTGTGATTTAAATTATTTATTAAGCATTGTATTGAAAACAATAAGGCAATAATAATCACAAGCTAAGATGTGAAACACGACGTTACATTGACATGAAGGCATCCCAAGGGAATGCCATGGCATTCAAATGTTGTTTTTCTATGCAGGTAGCAAGTCGTAACGGTCACCTCTACCTAGCTTTTGTCATCGTCACCCCCTTACAGACAGTTGAGCATCCGATTCTCCAACACAGAGAAAACTTGCAGCATTTGAAGAGATCCATATCTCTACCTAGCCATCCACAAAAAGTCCAGGATGCAGGAAAAGTCAGATCAAGCTACTCCTCCCCAGCAAGACTGTAATTCAATCCCCAACAAGGCTATAACTCAGTTCTCGAGTTTTCAAGTAGCAATCCATATTGGTATCTCAAAGGCAATGGGGACGGCGGACGCCGATAAGCCTAATATTTGGCACTGTTCATATAATAATCATCACTACATGTTACATTACATCCTCAAATGCGTGGCATATCCATTAAAATAGACCATTACACCATATACTTCAAAATGTATGTGAAGCATAAGCAAGATTTGGTACCTTGCACGAAAGCCCAAATCAATCCTCAAAACAGTAGAACATCCGCATAGAGAATTCCATCCTCACAATTCCCAGTTGACATACGTCATTACACTACAAACCAAAATAGCCATGGTGCCAATGCATTGTACTCCCAACTCTCAATACCATTTGTCAATCTTTTCTTGGGTCATAGGTCGTCCATAGATCTTACCCTTGTGTTATCTTTTCTTGGGTCGTAGGTCTTCCAAAGATCTTACCCTCATGTTATCTTTTCTTGGGACGTAGGTGGTCTGTAGATCTTACCTTCATGTTATCTTTTCTCGGGTCGTAGGTCTTCCTTAGATCTTACCTTCGTGTTACTTTTTCTTGGGTCGTAGGTCTTCCATAGATCTTACCCTCATGTTATATTTTCTTGGGTCGTAGGTCGTCCGTAGATCTTACCCTCATGTTATCTTTTCTTGGGTCGTAGGTCGTCCGTAGATCTTACCTTCATGTTAACTTTTCTTGGGTCATAGTTCATCCATAGATCTTACCCTCATGTTCTATTTTCTTGGGTCGTAGGTCGTCCATAGATCTTACCCTGATGTTATCTTTTCTTGGGTCGTAGGTCATCCATAGATCTTACCCTCATGTTATCTTTTCTTGGGTCGTAGGTCGTCCATAGATCTTACCCTCATGTTATCTTTTCTTGGGTCATAGGTCGTCCATAGATCTTACCCTCACGGTATCTTTTCTTGGATCGTAGGTCATCCATAGATCTTACCCTCACGGTATTTTTTATTGGGTCGCGGATCCTCCTGAGATCTTACCCTCTCTTGTTATCTTGTGTTGGTCGTGGGTTGTCCTGATACCTCCACTCTTGATTACCTTTCTTTTTGGGTCGTGAATCCTACACGATAGATTCTCAACTGTCGTCGATTTTACCCGTCGTCCTTACCTTTCTTTTTGGGTCATGAATGCTGCACAATAGATTCTTTGTTACCATCAATTTTATCCATCATCTTTACCTTTATTTTTTGGGTTGTGAATCCTACATGATAGATTCTCCACTATCGTTGATTTTACCCTTTGTCTTTACCTTTCTTTTTGGGTCGTGAATCCTACACTATAGATTCTCCACTGTCGTCAATTTACCCGAGTGTGTTTACCTTTCTTTTTAGGTCGTGAATTTTGCACGATAGATTCTCTGTTGTCGTCGATTTTACCCATTGTATTTAATTTATCTTGATGTCATTAATCATACTTTTAGTCACCATGCCATCATCACATTTATGCACAAGAACCTTGTATTGGCACCGTTACCCCATTACAAGCTATCACTAACAACCACATTTATCCATCATAACCAGTTCACCAGAAAACGAATTTTCTATCCCCAACAGACATCACAAAGAATAAAAATTACACCATCTCTCCAGTACAAATTTCAGGTCTTGGTATTTAATCTTCTTCTACCTTAAATGATCGAAAGGCTGGCGCCAATCTCACTTTCAGGTTTAAGATGATTAAATAGGGGGAGCTGTCATACCCCAAATTTTTCCTATCATTTTTCACCTTTATCTGGCTTAGGATTTGCATTTCATTTGCATCATTTTCATTAGGTCATTCACATATTATACGTTCCTAAGGCACGGGTTCAAAATCAGAGGTTGTACCAATTAGGGTTTCCATTGGTTTGAGATTTCCTCGGTTAAAATAAAGGTAGACTCATTTGGTTTTTTCTCTTAATATGTGGACTTGTGAATTAGGGTTTTGATACCATGACTATCTTAAGCATCATTTCCTCGATATCTAAGGTTTTGTCCCTCCATCATCACAAGCATTCCCTTTACTGAGGATCGTCAAAACATTTTCTTCATTCAGTGTGAAGCTCAGGTGGATTAGGGTTTTGCGTCCTTCATGTATGGTTTGGTTAAAGTACATCAATATAGATGATAAGGTTGTCACTTGTATGTTCTCAAGGGTTCATCAGTGGTTTCAATCAAGATCATAATTTAAGGTTTGTTTCCCTATTGTTAATCTTGAGATTAGGGTTTATTCCCCTACACAAGCTCAAAGATCATAGGTTAGGTGTTCTTCAAAAGTATTTCAATATTGAATCTTGTAAACTAAGGTTTTAAGGATTTTGTTAAGACATAAGGTATTGATATTTCTCTTGAGGATCCGTCGATCATTAGTGCAAGAATTCTCGTTGTTTGAGTTACAAGGCGTGCATCATGGTGCGAATGAAATTGCCTCATTTTCATATTTCGGATTAGAGTTTCCTCAAGAGATTAGCATGGTTTATGTGGATTTATTCTTTGAACTTTTGCAAGAAACATTTAAGTTTAGAAAGAAGCAAAGTTGGAATTAAAGTCATGACATGATAAACTTTGGTTCAAGAATTGATTTTCAAGATTTTCACGAGTTAAAAAGATAAAAAAGGAATTTATTTCAATTTGGTCCAAGACAATTAAAGCTTCCAATATTTGAGCCTCATTGGAATTCAAACATGATAAAGTTGTACTTTGGGTTAGGGTTTTTCTATGTTATAATTCTCATGAACCAAATCAAATTGACAAATCTAATTCAAAGTTCATGGTCTTTCATCTATTTTCAAGCATGTCATTATTCAAATCCAAGACTTTTCAACATGAGAGTTTTAACTTCTATTCAAGCATTCAAGTTCCATTAAATTATTCTACATTACTTCTTAAAAGTTGCAAGAACAAAGTTCAAGACTTTTTCAAAGCTTCATTAAAATTCAAGACTAGCTACAAGTTTTACATTACAACATTACCAAATTTCAAGTTACATAAAACCTAATCCTAGATCTCTAAGGTCTTGAACAAATGATAAACGCTAATTTAATCTTAATCTTCAAGATGTTGTCCATGAGAAACAAAGGCCATGTTGTCTACTTTGTTGCTGCTGCATAAACCTGTCCCAAAAGCATCTGAAACCATCCCAAATACCCTGCTTTCAAAGCAGTCTTGTGCAGCCCTGCATCACACTGCAAAACAGTCCAAAACCATGTTAAAAATCAGCCCAAGAAACCTGTCAAAACAAGCCAGACAATATTGTCCAAAATGACCTGCAAATAAGGCCAAAAACCTGCTATGTATCAGTCCTAAACTTGCATAAACATCAGTCCAGATATACATCAAAATAGGCAAAATAAACCGCATTAGAAAGCATTGAAAAAGTATGCTAAAACAGTTCAAAACCTATCCTATTTTCCCCCAAAAAACCTCATTTTAATTCACCATAAAACAGGCAAAAGGATGCAGAAAAAGATATGAAGAATCTCACAAGAAAACTCTCTTAAACACCGAAAAATTTCCTTAACATCTATGCCCTTCAACTATACCTTCATGACATAACAACAACAACACAGAAGGAGAAGAAAATTAGATAAGAAAGGTAGACAAAACATTACGTAAGCCAACAATCTCAGAATATAATACTTGAAGTTTTCTGATTATACTTCATTCTCCACAACAATGGTTCAACACCATATTTTTCAGAAAAGAGAAAATTAGAGGAAATCAAGAAGAGAAGAAAGGAAGTTACCAGAGAATATCTTCACCTCCGTGAACATTCAGAGTAGTATTGTTTCTGAACTTTTCAACCATACATATCCATGCTTGATTATGTTGTTTGAACATTTCAATTTGCATGTGTAAATTATTTGTTTCCTTAGAATGTTTGCGTGTATTTGATTTGTTTTATTCCTGCTAAAACTCGAAGATGATTAGAAGAATGTAGGATGAGTAAATGTACACCAACTACAAACAGAAAACACAAGAGTCAGAAAAATATACGCCAGACAGAAGAAAAAAACACCTGATAAGCATAAAAAACTTTTCTACACACCACCAATTTCATACCATATTTCTATCTAAATCTCTCTCAAAACCTCTGTTCAAACAATACAATAACAAACTACTGATTTCAAAACATTCTTCAACATTTCAACATAACCCCACTGTCTCACTACCATGTTTCAAACTCTTTTGTAAAATGCACTCATCAATTATAATTTCAATGCAAAAGAAGAAGAAAAAACATATCTCGGTTACATCATATACCATCACTTTAAAACCATTTACCATCTACCTCATAATGTTTCACAAGACCACTGACTTTCTTCATAAACTTCACCAACTTCAACCTTTCTCTGCAGAACCAATAATATGCAGACACAATACAACATGAAATACTACAGTGAAATCTCTCTATTTAACCATAACATTACTCTACAACATACATACCTCCGCAACCATACCATAGTGACCTTCAATATATTCCATTAAACCTCAAACACTCATTGACACTCATGTGAAAACCAATAACAGCAAAGCAAATGAGACAACACAAAGGCTAACAGAATCACAAACTACAAAAGTGATAACCGAGTCCTACCCTAACTTTACCATCACCATTCAAATCCGAAACACTCATATATGACAGAAGAACAAATAATCAGAAATAAGAAGTAACAGAGAGAAACATAATCATAGAGGAGATGCAAAAAAACGGATTGAGCAATTTTCGAGGGAGTATAAGCGTTTTACACAGGAAGTATTAATTGAAAGATAAAATAGAGGTGAGTTTGAGTTTTGTTGTTGTTGATTTTACAGAGGGAGTATTTTGTTATCGAGCGAGATTAGAGAGAACAGAGAATTGTGATTTGTAGCTGTTTGATCAAGAGTTATTCGGACGGATGAGATGATGAGAGCAATCGATTGTTTAGGATTTTTGAGAAAGCACAGAGGAATATATTTCAAAGGGTGGTTTCGAAATAGATGAGAGAAAGTTTGTCATTGTTGGATGTATGGTTTGCAGAGAGAGTTGTGTTTTCTTTCAAAACCGTTTTAATTGACATTTATGTGGTTAATTTGGAATTCAATCAAAAAAATGATTTTTTCCCTTCCCAATGTCAATACCAGTGGCGCATTCTTATTTAAAATTAGGGTTTTCAAAACCCTCTCTATTCCTCCTAAAACAGATACGGGTTTGGGTTTATTTCGTTAGCCCAACCCATTTCATAAGTTTCATTGTTATATTAATTGTAGCACAAAATTAACGAATGAAGCACCTTGGTGAAGTGGTTGGGGCGTTAGTTTGGTAGGCGTGAGGTCCTGGGTTCGAGACCCCTTGGGGGCATTTTACCATTTTTCTACATTTTCTTTGTCTCCATTTAAGCCCGTTGATTATTTTTACTACTTCAATAATCTGAATGGTTATATTCACGAATGAACAACTTGGTGTAGTGGTTAGAGCGTGAGCCTTGTATGCTTGAGGTCCCGGGTTTGAGACCCCTCTGGGCACTTTTACCATTATTCTACTTTTTTATTCCCTTTTAACCCAAACTCTTTTATTTTATTTTTAATTAAAGGTGTATATACAACAGAAAACAAATACGTTTTAGTGGTAAGGCTGATTGGTTGCAACCTAGAGGAACTGAGTTTGACCCCTAGCCCTTATCCTTTTTAGCTTTAAGTTAATTTATTCTTATTTCACCCAAAAATTCGCAAGAAAAATACCAAAAATATTAGATTAGAATTTTAATTTTCTTTTGATTATTTCTTTACTAAAAAATAATAAAAATATATTAGAATAAAATAGTATTAGAATTTTGATTTCCCTTTTTTAGAATTCCTCCATTTTGCAATTCATAATAATGTAGAATTAGGTTTTAATATTTATTTTCACAAAATATCATAAAAATATTATAATATTATTTTATTTTATGTACTTGATAAAAATCATAAAAAATGTTAAGAACTTAATTTCTTTATCTTTGTTTGATCACTTGGTTAATCTTAATTACATGTTCCCTTAAGTGATTCCCCGAATCGATTAAATTCATGTTCATCGTTTCATGTTGAATTAGACATTAGAATCAAACTTTGTATGATAACTTTAGGATATGATTTCCCTTTTATACTCAATATTAGGTCCATCTTTGTACATGACAATATTAGGGAATAATTCCCCCAGAGAATTTTCTTTTGCATTACATATTCCCTAATCAAAACTAAAACTTTCTCTCCTTAATAAAAAAACTATAAAAAAAAAACACTTAATCATTATTCAAACTCATTCTACACTTAACAAAAACACTCAACAAATCAAAGATCTCCTCAAAAGGAGCATGTTATGTCTGTTCTACCGCGATACCGTCCGTGCCTATTGTTATAATGCGTGCGTTAATGTCTCCCACTAAAAACACCAACAAGAAAACATTTTCAAGAAGAACTATGGTGTTCTGATTCCCTCACGGGATACGTAGGCAAAGGGTTGCGAGACCCTCATGAACGCACTAATAAAAAACCATTTCACTCCCCTTAGCAAGTATAGTTATAGATAGACACACCCTTAGAAGCAAACAATCAAAATGGATCTCGTTGAGTACAACATATGTGAGGGGTGCTAATAACTTCCCCTAGCATAATCGACTCCCGTACCCTCTTTTTTGATTGCAAGACCATCTTATCCAACCTCTTGGGGTTTTCTCGATATTTTCCCTTCCTTCGGGATAAATAAATTTTGGTGGCGGCTCTGTGTTTTTTGCCATTTGCTTCAATGTTCATGGGTACTTTACAAGGGTTGTACCATGATAAAATGGTAGGAAGCGTCTCTTCTGGATTTTCTGATTTGGTGACTATTGGTGAAAGAGTTGAAGTAGGTATAAAAAGTTTCAAGATACAAGGGGCATCATCAGGTACTCCTTACAATTCAAAGAAGTATGTTCCTAACTTCTTGAAGAAGAAGGAGGGAGAAATTAATGTTGTCACATTGCATCCAAGGGCACAACATACATTGGTAATTTCACGAGAACAACAAAAACAGAACAAGTTTGAAAGGCCTATGAGAAGATTTAATCACCTCCCCATGCCTCACAATCAATTACTGAAACACTTACTCAAACCATCTTTGGTGGAGCCGAAGCCTTTAGCTCCCCCGATTAGGGCACTCCCGCCAAAATATGATGCCAATGCAAGGTGCGAATATCAAACCAACTCTTTGGGTCATACCATAAAGAGATGTTTTCCCTTCAGACATAAGGTTTAAGATCAGTTGGATTCCCAAGATATCACTTTTGATAAGTCAAATACCAAGATGAACCCCATGCCTCCACATGGCGGGACAACATGTGAACGTGATTAAGGTAGTCACTGGCTTTGGGGCAGCTAGATGAGTAAAAACTCTGATAGATTTCTTGAAGGAATCTCTATTTGAGTATGGGTTCCTTTTGGAACATAATGAAGCTTTTGAGAAGACGTTGCAGAAATTGGTGGATCAGTGGATAGTCCAATTCGGGTGATACTCAGAAAGAGAATATGTAGTTGCGATTGACAGAAATACGAAGAGGCCACTGATAATTTCTTTCCAAGGGACGAGACCTGCCAAGAAAACTCTTGGAACTCTTTTGGGAGAGTCAAGTACGACAAAAGCACCAGTAAAAATACCACGATAGACTCTGAGGATACCAGTGATTTCAAAGACTACAATGGTGATTAGAGGGCCATCTCCGACTCTTTATGAAAGTGACAAAGTTGTGCTATGGGGTTATGATACTACTGTTTGTGTCAATGGCTTAAAGAAAGAATATGAGCCATCGACAAGCCAAAATCCTGCAATTACAAACATAGCAGGGAGAGGGGGCATGACCCGCAACGGTCGAATTGATGGTCCCAAAAAAAGGATGATGATATGGTTAAGGATAAAGGAAAAGCTATGGTGGAGGAAAGTCAAGAAAAAGAACCTTCGAGCAAGAACTTTACTGACCAAGAGGTGGAAGAATTCTTGAAGATAATCAAGAATAGTGATTATAGGGTGGTGGATCAACTACACCAAATCCCGCCTAAAATTTTAATACTCTTGTTTATTATCAATTCAGAAGCGTACCGAGACTCTCTGATGAAGATTCTAAGTTATGCTCATGTTACAAAGGAGATTATGGTAAATCAGTTTGACAATGTTCTAGTGAATCTAACATCTTTATTGTATTTAGGATTCAACGATAGTGAGTTTCCTCCACAAGGTAGAGCTCACAACAAAGCGCTGCACTTTTCTATACAGATAAGAACAACTAGCCTATCTAGGGTACTCACTAATACTGGTTCTGCTCTCAACGTGCTACCGAAAGACAGTCTGATGAAGCTAACACTAGACGGTGTTTTCATAAGGCCGAGTTCTATGATAGTTAAAGCTTTCGATGGTTCTCAAAGTTCAATGTTCGGAGAAGTGATGGATATAGAACCAAAATGTACGTGCTTGCTCGGACGACCTTGGATTTATGCTGCAGGGGCTATTACCTCAACCCTGAATCAAAAGTTGAAGTTCCTCGTTGTAGGAAGATTGGTTATAATAGACGAAGAAGAGGACATCTTTGTAAGTCACCTAGATTCTTACAGATATATCAGTATCGATGAAGATTCTATAGCAACATCATTTAAAGTCTTAGAGGTTGCTTCAATGGTAACTCTACGAGTGGAGAAAATCAAGAGACCTACTATGACTTCATGGAGATACTTATAAACAGTTGTGGAAGATCGTGCCTCAAAAGGTTGGGGTAAACTTTTGGAGATACCTGAGAAGAAAGATCATTTTAGTTTAGGATACGAACCATCAAAGGCTATTCTGAAAGGCAAGGCGCAATTTCCTCCCATTCAGGAAATCTTTATCAACAAAAGGGTAGAGCTTAGAGGGAAAATAACAATGATATCCAACAAAAGCATAACCAAAGTAGCATCAAACTTCATCCGTGAATGCGCTCCAGGAGAAGAACTCAAGAATTGGACAGTCGTGGAGATTCCACATATCTTTTTCTTTCCAAAGAAATTTTTCTTATTTCTAAAAGAACCTATGTCACGCCCGAGGCATAAGGGTAGCTTGTAAGGGTCCCCCATTTGTTTCAAACAATATTTTATATTAAAAATAGTTTTATTTTGCATTCAATTAATATCCTCGTCTTTTTCTTGCATTTATCTCTTATACTTAAAAATGACAATACTTTCCTTCATATGCATTTTCCAAATTGACAAACTAAGTTGCACCAAAACATGATAAAATATGCAGATCCATATCCAAACCCACCGATAATGTTACTGCTGTTATCAGATATAATTTTGATGCACTAATTAATCAAGTTGAAGAGAATCTAGGTACGGGGGTTGGTTATGCAAAGGGAAGGTATTAGCATCCTA